AGCATGAAGCAGCTAGGAGTATTTCTACTCCCCCTGGATGGGAGGCTAGTCCACTGCAGGTCACTCCCCCACAATTTGTTAGGTTTCCCCAACAATTCGCCTGTACCCATCTATACTCCTGGGTGGAGAGAGGCACTGTGAGAGTTAAGTGTCTTGCCCAAGAACACAACATAGTCTCCCTGGCCAGGGCTCAAACCCAGACCACTTGATCCAAAGATGAGCGCACTAACCATGAGGCTCCCACGCCCCACAAAGAAGGGAATGGCAATCGCAACGAACAAAATTTTGCAAGGAAAGTAAGGACAGGGATGGGGGGAGGGGGTTCAAACCAAAAAAAACTCATCGGGAGGGGTATGGACATTTTCTGGAACAACACAATTAATTTTGCTGGTACTGTGAGAGCAAGACTTCTAATGCCCAACAACACATTATACAACGACCTCAGCATGTGAAGTTCCAACCCACACATACCAGAAACCAATAATGATACAATTGTATTTTATTTATCTGGAAGAACATTAAATTCTGAATCTTAATGTTTCCCTACCTGTACTGTTCTTATTGGTTTCATGTTTGATGACCAAAGAGAGATTATCCCTTCCTACAAAATTGAAATAAAACAATGACAAAAGATCTTAGATCAGTACAGTACATGCAAATTGAAGTAACGACAGCATTAAATATTAGCCAGGTAATTATAAGTTGTAGTGGCAACTGGCTAAGTGGTAGTCATCATGGGAGTTGTGCATGCTGGTGGTAGACTGGAAGAATGGCAGTGTTATTGCTAGTGGTTGTGGCCAGTGGTGATAATGGTAATGCCATCTGGAGGTTACAAGTCGACTGATCATTGAGCTGGTAGTGTTAGCAGTATACAGTACATGTATAAATATAGAGGTGGACTACTAATTGCAGATTTATTGACCAGTATATGTAGGATAGCAATGATTCAGTGCACTGCACATAGTGTTTGTGGTAGTGGTAGATTTGAGTTATTAGTAATACAGTTTTGATACCTTCAGCACTAGTGGCAGCCAAAATGGCAATGGCAGTTGTAGACTGATAGTGGTTAGGGTTGTCATGGGGTTAACATATTAAAATTATATTACCAGTACCAAAACCTCCCACTATCAACAAAACCACAACAGTGTTACCTCAAATGGAAGTGATACTACTAGAGGTAGTGGTACACTGTAAGTCTAGCCCTGGTAGTGATAGTGTTACAAAATAATGTAGTATCAGTGGGAGTCATTTATACTGTGGTGGTAGTGGAAGTGCTAGTGTTAGTACAGTGTCAGTGGCATTCAAATATACAGGTAGAGGTGGTGGTGATAGTGGTGGTGGTGGCATTGATAGTGGTAGTGGTAGTGTTAGGGATAGTGGTAGTGTCGGTGTTAGTGCGAGTCATAATGGTAGTGGCAGCTGTAGTAGTAGCACTAATGGCAGACTGGTAGTGGTAGTTTGTAATACAATACGAATTCCCCTTTAGTTAGAACTTCTGTGGGTAGACAGTAATATAGCTGCAGACTACAATGTAGCAGTGATAGTAATTAGCATATTTCATTTCAGAACAAGCAGTGAAGAGTGAAGTGATACTGGAAGTTACATATATATTATAAGCTGCTAACTAGTTACCTTACTAACTGCAATGTATCTTGATGGATTCATCAAAGGAGATATTCTAACAATGGCCTCTTTATGGGGGCTGAAATTTTAACACAGTCAAGAATTCCCCTTAACTTGGTCAACTTTTCAAATTTGTAACACATTAATATGTAAATTAGGTACATCTAATCTATAGAAATGACAGTGCAGCTCTCTGGGTGTATAATTATGTATTTGCTACATGTAAATGTAAATGTTAATGTATACACTTGTACATTATTGGGAAACAAGTGCTCGAGATACAGTATATGTTCAATTAGTATAGGTAATCAAATGATTTCGAGTGCAAATTTGGAATAAATAAGCACAAGTAAATATTTCTAAGACTACAAAAAATTGCACAAGCCTGTAGGGCGAGTGCAATTTGTAGTCTTTGAAAAATTTACGAGTGCTTATTTGTTCCAAATTGCATGAGAAAAATCATTTGATTACTTGTTAATAATATACAAGTGACAATTTCTGTCATGCTTCAGTATTTTACATGACAAATGAAGGGTCAAGCTACTTCAACTTTATTGGATGAAAATTTGACATGTGAATTCAAGCGCAAAAATTCATTCACTCTCTCCAAGTCATGTATAAAAACTGAGCACTTTCTTTTAACTGTGAAAAGCAGTCTTTTTTCACAGTTGAATTGAAGAACTTGACCCAAAAGAAAAAGAAAACCTCCTTGCGGTTTTGCTGCCTCGTCTCATTTTTGTCCGCCATTTTGTTTGTCCTAGCTCAATTTTGTCGGAGCTGTCAATTATTTTTAATTTCACCGTTTTGCACACAATTTCGCCGTTTTGCACTCAATTTCACTTTTTTGTACTGGTGAAATTGCACTGATCACTGATTTGGGATTAAATGACATGTTCTCAGCCAATCCGACTGCAGAAATTGTTGCTTGTATATTATTAACACAATTATAGAATGCACAGACCTTTGAGTCATGTGAGAGGGAAGAGCAAGTCAACAAGCAAAACTTGAGCCTGCCCACAGGCTATATAGTTTTTTCAGTTAACGAGCATGCGATTATATGTTACCTAATATTTGTGCTTCCGGGTTAGAATACTGTATGTAAGAGATTATATACCTATAAAAAGTTACAAATTAGCTTGCAGTAAAAGTAAAAATGTTTGGCATGAAATTTGAAGGCAAATGCTTGCAAATGTTTTATTTCTATTAACTTGTGCGTCGATAGAATCCGGACGGGTGCTGTCACGCACCAATTCGACCAATCATAGTTTATAGACTGAGAAACCTCTACTTGCTACATGTAATCATATTTAATTTATTTATTTTATTTATTATTTTGTTTTAATATTAAACCAAGGATATCAGAATGAAACATAATCCACAGGAAAATAAGTTGGACTTTGTCAAACTATGCTATATCTGTTGTTCATATAAAAGTGTTGATTTCAGTTAAAAGTTAAAGATTTGAGTCTAAAAAAGTTAGATTTGAGTTAAAAGTCAGCTAATGAAATAATTCACTTAGAGTGAAGGTGTCAAACACACTGCACCTCAAAATCTTTGATTATAACTGCTTAATTAAGTCTAATAGACTCATTATTGTATGGTACAGTTTTATCTGGTGAATATTTACAACTGGAAATTTACAGTGACCTTTAGAAACTTATATACCTAATACAATCATGTATACTAAAAAATGTATTGGTTTACTATATAATTACTGTATATACGCTCCATGGAAATAAATGTTTCAGTTTTATTTCATGTCAAAATGAATTCAAGCAAGTTTAATTTGTAGTTTGGTTAAGGATTACATGTATGATGAGAAATCTAGAACAAAGGAAAATAAAAATCAGACTGTCTAGTTTTAATTCATTATGATCTGAAAATGTGATTATTAAATCCTGATTGTATTTAGCGTGGTAGGAGTTTGGAGGTGGGTGTGGAGGGGGAAGGGAGGGGATGAAAGTGCCAGGCAAAATAAGGTAGACGTCTATCAAATGTCATAAGTATAAAATTACAAAGTTCATGGTGGATGCTAGCTATTAGCCTACCATGCAATATTTCTAAGCTCTCGCCACTGAGGAACCTTCAGTAGAAACAATAAAAAAATTGATATAAATTATAATTGATATAGTATACGAAAAAGTAACATTCAGTTGTGGCAGCATTAAGAGGAAGCCTGGATGCACACACAAAAGGGACAGGGGAAACCTTTATATTTTACTCTCAGTGCGAACTAATGAGTACTTCATGTTCATCCTTGAATCTGTTTATATTTTAAAAGCTTGATTTGAAAAATAAATGCAGAATGCTGTTCATCTTGGTGTATTTGGTGGATCAGAGGAGAAGAATGGAGAATTAGGGCAGTGGATGGGGGAGCAGGAGTAAAATTATATGGGAGGAAGAAAGAGAGAAAAGGCAGGGATAGGAGAGAGAAGAGGAAAATGAAAAGCGGAGTGGGTGAGAGTGGGTGAGAAAGAAGAAAAAAGAGGAGGAGATAAATTGAGGAGGCGGAGGTGGAGGAGAAGAAAGGATTATACTGGAGAAGGGAGGAGTAATAGTGGAGGAAAAGGGAGAATTAGAGATCGAGACTTGGATTGGAGGCCAGTGGAGAAGGAGGGAGGGGTGAGAATTAGAGTGGAGAAGGAGGAAGAAGGACTAGAGAGGAGAAAAAGATCAGAAGACAACAGAAGAATAGAGATGGGCATTTATTGGAAGCAAGGGGGGCTTACACTGTACAACAGCACTCCAGGCCTTTGGCTATGTAAGAGCCCAATCCCTAATAAGCAGCCCTTTTCCAATAAGCCTCTTGAACTACATTGACTCTTGAACTACATTGTGCCATGATTATGATATTCTTAAATACATGTGCATGTAGTTCCCCAAACCTGTTATGGGATCACACAAGAGCCCAAGAGCTTTCTTGGCAATTTGGACCTGACAGTTATCAAAGTTACACGGCACTAACATGTCTGTACCCTTACCTGAGTGGTTTTCATTCGGTCATCCTTCTCATAGTATTCTAGCAACATATGAGAACAGAATTTGTCCCAGTCAACATAACCCTCTTTACCCACATCAACTCTGTTAAACAAATCTTCATATTCTTCTCTTGATCCTTTGTTCAGTACAATGGAGAGAATTTCACAGAACTGGTCAACATCCAGGCTCAGCTCACGTTCATGACCAGATTGATTTATCTGAAGAGAAGCAAAAAAAAAAAAGAAAAACTGTCCAATTCAAGTTTTAATACTATCAGACGTTACCATTACCATAATTTTACTCTAATTAGACACGTCAACACTACAAAACAGTTTTGATCTGGACTATTCAAGAAAAGAGAAAAGAAAAAGGACGCTACAAGTTTACACTTAAAGGGCCAGCATCTAAAATGTCAGTATCAAAAATTCTCTTTCTTAATATTATTGTGAAAGGCCTGCAAATCTACTGCCTGAACTTTAAAATGAAACATTTTTTGAATAAAATCAAAATTAATATTTTAGTTGATTACAAAAAGAAGCAAAAATAAACTATGAAGTTTGGAAGTTGCATCTTCACTCCATATTATATATCATTTTCTTTTCTCAACAAGAGTAAAGATGACTTCAAAACATTATAGTTTAGTTTTGCTTCTTTTTGCAATCAACTGTATTTCCAAATGTTTTCTTATCTCTCTGTCTCTGATTGCATAATTATTTCTTAGGGAAAAAGTTTTGCTTCAGAACTTCCATGTACATTGTACCAGAGGCTAGTTGGCATTTATAGACATACAACCATATTAATATTGTGAAGAATACACAATGTACATGTATATGTAGATATTAATGTTATGAGCCAAGTTTGAGGTCTGTAATAAGTCATATGGACCAAGTTTCCCCTGTCAATTTAAGACCTATGTGCAAAGTGTATAGGGCCATAAATCAAAGGGGAAAAGAAAAGGATGTGCAATTAGTACAGATGGACAATATGATGTTACTAAGACATTTGTCGCCTATTTTCATTGCGTTTTGAATGGGTTCAGGAATTCATTTCACGTTATGTAAAAGCTTCAAATTTTAGTAGGCCCTACACTAGAATTGCAATATAAAACAGCCTGCTAAATTGACCAATCACAGCATGTCTAAGGACTACAAAATGCAAATCAAAATAGGTAGTACATGTATCCTTAAATTGTGCCCTGCTTGTAAATTCAGAATGATATTACTACTTGTAAATTTAAAAAGCGTTATGATTACTTAATTCTTGAGCTGCCACATTATAATGTAAGTAGAACCATTTGTAGATACCATAAATGCATCCTGGACAGCCTTCAAGTCATGCATTGTAAGCCTGGTAACCAGCTTCAAACCACCATTGTAGTTTGTCATCTTTGGATCAACTTTCCTGAATTAATACAGATAAGAAACATATCATGTAAGAGATGTAAAAAACTTTGAATCAGAAACTAAGAAGGGTTAATGCCACAGCCACATGTCTGCCATTGACCCTCGGGGGTGGGGGGGGGNCATATACATGTCCACAATTATCCACCTATTGCGTTTATTCTTTAAACAGGTACTAATATTTTTGTCCACATACAGTACCGGTCAAATGTAAGTTGACAGTCACTCGAAACTCGAACGACTTGACTCAATCCTCGATCCTCAAAACTCGAAATCTTTGAGTATCGAGTCTCGAGTTGAGTCGTTCGAGTTTCGAGTGGAGTCGTTCGAGTTTCGTGTTGAGTCGTTTGAGTTTTGAGTCGAGGAGACAAAGAATTTATCACTCGCGTTTAATTTTTCCAAATACATGTACATGTCAACCTTGCTGGTTTACTTTTGGAGACAGAGAAATTTTCGAGTCACGCCTCAAGAGGCGGTAAGCGACTCTACATATGTAAATCAGTTGGCTTATTTAAATCAACTGTTTTGTCCCTCGGTTGAACCTCTTTGGATTTGAAGTTAATTATTGTTCATTTCAGAATAACGACAGAGTAACAGTTCTGAACACGATGCTGAGATTTGTTTTAAATCAGCTGTACGAAGGGCTTGATAGGATGGGGTGCTTGTCATTACAAGAGAGTTCAGAGAGTTTAGAGTGTTCAGCCTCAAAAGGTCCACAGCCAGAGCTTTTGACATTAATTTTGTGGTACCTTCAAGAGAACTGAGCAAAAAAAAAGTCAGTGTCAGTTAATGGGTAGTTTTTGAATTGTTACCTCTTAGGGGTGAAAAAATTTCAAACCATACTCACAAAACAGTATCTTGGTACCTCTTAGGATATCTTTTAAAAATTTCTGCCAAGCACCCATGTCCTTTTCATTTGGGAGTCCCAGTCCCCCTGGGGTATTACTCAGGTTTGGACACAATTCTTTATAATCCTTTCCAACATTACATTGGTTTCACACCCTCAATATGAACAGTTGATTCATGTATTATCAAGTTACAACAAACAGGCAGAGTTGCTTGAAGTGCAGCTGAGAGCAAGTTGGTAACTCCTTGTGGTTCCACCTTGAATGTTCTCTAAATGTCCCAGGTGTATCAAACGTCCATGATGTACATGCACAACATGCAGCTACAGGGAGTATTATTATTAAATAATGTCACATGTAGTGGCAGCTTCTAGCCCGCATCCTTTCCATCCATTTATAAAGACTGAGTTAAGTTTTCAAATAAACTTTCCGTCTTCATTAAGGCAAAATATTGTTTGGACCAATGTGACCTCATATATTTCTCCCAGGGTTCAATGGTATCATATGTAAATCATGCCATGTTAACTCAATATAATATTTAAATTTTCCCTGACTCAGAATAAAATTCCCTGACTTTTTATTCCCTGACCTTGAAGAAATTTTTTTTCGGTCAGTGTAAAACGCAGACTGCAGACCAGGGGGTAAAATACAGACCGCAGCTTTACACGAAGTGTGTTACCAATTCTATTATCAATAGCTACCTGTAACTGTAAACAGGCTACAGTGTAAAATGCAGACTGCAGACTGAGGCCAGGGATAAACTGCAGACTAGGGATAAAATGCAGACTGCAGACTTACCTGAACTGTGTTACCATTTCTATTATTGATACATGTAGCTACCGACTAACCATAAACAGGCTAACCTGAGTGTCTCAGGCTAACCTAAGTGATATTCAGGCTAACCAAAGCACAGACTCCAATTTACCTGTGACCTGTTAGTTTACGGTTAGTGCTTCATATTGGAAACAACACAATATACACTGAAAAAGTCTGCAGCCTGCAGTCTGTATTTTACCCTTGGTCTGCAGTCTGCAGTCTGTGTTTCAGACTGACCCATTTTTTTTCCCTGACGATTTTCTGACCTTAAGCCTGTGACAACCCTGCTGTAGAAATTTACCACCTTGACTCTATTAAGAAATTGCCTTGATCATGCAAGGAGACATCCGTTTGAAGTTTCAAAATAATTATTTACACCTTAGATCTTCATGACTTGAACTACTTTTAAAGAAAATTTGCAGTAGAAGTACGGAGAAAAAAAACGAACCTTCATTAATAATAGAAACTTAAATCAAAATCTGAACTAAGCTTACAAGTGACGGACTGATCGAAATACGGCAAGCTTAGCTCAAGGTTAATAACAACGAATTAGAATCCCATCGACTGAGTTTCTGACGATGGTCTAAAACATATTCAGCACATAAAGCATTCTATAAACCTCGGGAATTATGCAACGAGAGATTGTTGAAAACCTTCGAGGGAAAAACTGATGTCACCATGAAAAGATGCAGCGATAGCTGGCTAGTCGATAGAGCGCTTTTTAGGTACAAATTATTACTCAGCTGTATTACTGCTAAACTTATGGGCAAACCTTTCATTGTTTCCTTCCTGAGCCTGCTCGGTATTTGTCAAAGCAACAGATGAAGCTTCTCCTTTCGGTGATTTAGACATTTCACAGATTCAAAGGCAATAAACATTGGTGATCTTTCGTATTATCGTCCCAGCCGCCATTTTATATCAACATGAAACCATAGCAATCAAAACTAGTGCCAATCTTACTCCGTAATGCAACAACTTCGTTCCCAGGGACTTTATCAGTTCGAAAGTAAAGTCCAGCATTTCTACCACGGAATAAAATTGAGTGTTATTAGGGTTAGAAACAGAGGGGTTAGGAGGGAGTAGCTTGTTCGCCGATCCAAGTAGGGCCTGATCCATGATAAGGATAGCCTGCGCGCGATGGGGGCTCGTGGTAGACGGACGTGTCACGAAAAGGTAACAGGTCGTTTCGCCAAACGGGTCGCCTCAACTCAAAGTATCTATAATATTTAGACTACGCAAATGTTTAATAAAAAGGTTTAAAAGGCATTTCATATACGTACTCTACAGGTAAATCATCGATAAAGTCACGGTGTACAATGTGCCATAACGCATGCTAAGTAAATAAATGTTTATTACAAAGCTTCGTTTCGCGGTTGCACCTATTGGCCAAGCTTTGATGCCTTTTACAACAGGAAGCAGCGGTGTTCCTTTTTAAATTTTTTTTGACAGAGGATGAAATGCAGACTGCAGACCAAAGAATTTTTATGTATATATCGTGTTTTTTTTTTTNAGATATCATCGCGTTGATCTGTACGAGCGAAAAGAAAATGCACAATTTCCGGCCATTTTCGGCGGCGTCAGGCAGCTAAAATGGCGATTTTCAAACTTTCCTCGATTTCGAAAAAACTAACGCACTTCAGAACCTTTGAATGGTATTTTCGAAAATAACTCACTATAGAGGTTATTTGGGCAAGATATGAAGAAATCGAAAATTTCGCGACTGTCATCTCATTCTCGGTATTTACAGGAACTGACTCTTAATTATTTTTAGTGTCAGCGGTTTTCCAGTTATAACTGAGTGTTATTAGGGTGACTATTAGGGTTAGAAACAGAGGGATTAGGAGGGAGTAGCTCGTTCGCCAATCCAAGTAGGGCCTGATCCATGATAAGGATAGCCTGCGCGCGATGGGGGCTCGTGGTAGACGGACGTGTCACGAAAAGGTAACAGGTCGTTTCGCCACACAGGTCGCCCCAACTCAAAGTATCCACAATATTTAGACTACGCAAATGTTGAATAAAAAGGTTTAAAAGGCATTTCATATACGTACTCTACAGGTAAAATCATCGATAAAGTCACGGTGTAGAATGCGCCATAAGGCATGCTAAGTAAAGAAATGTTTATTACAAAGCTTCGCTTCGCGGTTGCACCGATTGGCCAAGCTTTGATGCCCCTTACAACAGGAAGCAGCGGTGTCGCTTTTTAAAGTTTTTTCAACAGAGGATAAAATGCAGACTGCAGACCAAAGACTTTTTAAGTATATATCGTGTGTTCTTTTTTCTTTTATCGAGTGCTAACCGTAAACAGCGTTATCCGGGCTAATTGCAGTAGAAGTCTGCACTCCGCTTAGCTTAAATCTGATAACTCCTGTTAGTCTGGACGACCTCGGTGGCTCCCCTGAAATCTGCCCTTGACAGTCATGGCTCTATTTCCATCATCACACTATTACACAGCTCTGCTCAGATGTTATTTCGGGCTGAAACAACAAAGTTGTCCAAAATTTGCCTAACATACATGTTGGATTATTTTAATAAGTAAGAACATGGGTAGCGCCGCTCTTAGGCCTGGCTAAAGCGGAATATTGTTTTTCTTTTTTCAACCAAATGTTCTAAGATAGCTTTTTCCGGTTTGTTGGAAACAACATAATATATTCAGGGTGACTGGCCGCGTCACGCAATTGTTTATTCGTCTCCATCAGAGGATTTAAGGCAAAATTTATGAGAAACACAGGCTAAGGCAATTTCCCAAGAGACATTTTTGGATATCGTAGCAGCTGGGTGTATACTTAACCCGTAGAAAGTATTTTTAAGGCATTTAAAATTATCGCCCCTAGAAAAATATAGCAATAATTCAGTGCAATAATTAGCTTGCAACTAGCCTGTAATTATGGTCAGGCTCCGACTGGAAGGTTCTGACCCCGATT